AAAAAAAAAAAAAAAAATCCTGTGCTCAGTGGGATATTAAAGTCCCTCCTTCCTGTTTTTCAATTACATAGCCAGGCTTTTAGGTTATTTAGCATCTCATCTTCCCAGTGTATCTTGCAGACGGTACCATTTTAAATATAAAGGACATCTTTTTGAGAGATGTGTTTTTTGTGCATTTTGAGTAGGTTGAAATTTTTAAAAAATCTTTGTTCCATTTTGCTCCATTTATGTATGGAAAGCTTGTTGTAACTTTTTGCTTTCACTTCTACTCTCTGTCTTAGAAAAGTCCCATTTACGTCATCCTGGTAGGAGGCTGGTCTTTTTCTCTGTACCTCATTCAACTAGTTTTTAAAAATTTACAAGAGATCTGGAGGTGTTACTGGCAGTATCTTTTAAGTAAGTGGTGTTGGTTTTGCTTTCCTTTTGTATGTTTTTAGGCTGTTTTAGTTAATTTGATCGTGAAAAGATGTTGCCTGTTTACAGGAGATAATAGTTCATGTCATTTTATTAAGTTTTAAAAAATCATAATTTTTCCCTTATTTCTAACCCCTGTACAGTCACCACCTTCTCTTAAATTAAAATGATGCTGCTAAGGAGAAGATATTAATTGACTGGTATTTGTAAGTGCACCTCTCTTTATACAATAAGCATCTTCCTGAAAAAGCTGCAAATTGATTTTATTAATATAATCATATTTTAAATACACTTGGGGACCTTAAATAAAGGACTCTGCAGTTAATTTTTATCTATAAAGTGAGAATCCTTTGGTCAGACAGATAGTAACCTTTAATCTATCCTTTGAGAGGTGACGAATCTGGATTTTCATATACTGGGTTTTTAGAATAGACTGTTTCAGAGTTGTTCAACTTTTAGCTTTAATGCTCTGTTTGAACCAGATAAATCTGGGACAACAGAAAGTATAGGAACTCAAAGAAATGAATATATTCTAATAATGAAAAAGTGTGAATTATTGAGGAAAGATCTTATCTGAGTTCCTGGTTCAATAGATACTATGTAGTGAATTTACTACTGTTCTCCACACAAATTATTTTTACCAGGTATAGATGTCTAAGAATGTCTTCTGGTAACTCTTCTCATAGGCTACGTCCTCACAGTTGGATTCATGAGTTTTGCGGTATGTTATAAGTATGGGCCCTTGGAGAATGAACGAAGTATCAACCTGCTGACCTGGACCTTGCAGCTGATGGGCCTGTGTTTCATGTATTCTGGCATCCAGATACCACACATTGCCCTTGCCATTATCGTCATTGCTCTGTGTACTAAGAACCTGGAGTACCCTATTCAGTGGCTGTACATCACCTACAGGTGACTGAGAGACAATGTAACTTTGTATTGACATGTACAATGTGGGATGCAGTTGCAGCAAAAGTATACAGAGCTGTTGACCTAGGAGCCTCTGTTTATGAAAAATTATTGTATTATGCTTCTACATTTGTTCTTCCTGAGTCTATTTTTTTAGACTCTCTGTAGGCATTTTTATATTTTTGTTCTAGTCATTTTAATAAAAACATCCAGTAAAGTGTCATGTGTTCTTGTTACCACTAGGTGGTACAAATTATATCAGTTTTATACCACATTGCTCAAGTCACCTGGTTTCGGGTTATTTCACATTGGCTCTCAGATTGCTCTGGAAGCCCTAGTCTTATTTTAAGGTGCAATTCCTAGCATGTTATCACCTTGCATAATGAATATGGAATGTTCATAGGTTCTGAGGTTGTCAGTGGTTGTCTATTGTGGATAGTTAAAGTGATGCCTTCAGTTTGGGGAACCATTTTAATGGACCACAATCTTTTTTTTTTTTTTTTTTTGAGACAGAGTCTCACTGTGTTGCCCGGGCTAGAGTGCCGTGGCGTCATCCTAGCTCACAGCAACCTCAAACTCCTGGGCTCAAGTGATCCTCCTGCCTTAGCCTCCCGAGTAGCTGGGACTATAGGCCTGTGCCACCATGCCCGGCTAATTTTTTCTATCTATTTTTAGTTGTCCAATTAATTTCTTTCTATTTTTAGTAGAGACGGGGTCTTGCTCTTGCTCAGGCTGGTTTCGAACTCCTGAGCTCAAACAATCCGCCCGCCTCAGCCTCCCAGAGAGCTAGGATTATAGGCGTGAGCCACTGCGCCCGGCCTCACAATCTTTTTTTTAACCAATCAAATAATTTAATTTCCTTCTTCCCTCCCTCCCTCTCTCCTTCCTCCCTCCCTCTCTCCTTCCTTCCTTCCCTCCTTCCTTCCTTCCTACCTACCTACCTACAGTGTCTCGCTCTGTCGCTTAGGCTAGAGTGCAGTGGCATGATTGTAGCTCACTGCAACCTCAAACTCCTGGGCTCAAGTGATCTGCCTGCCTCAGCCTCCTGAGTACCCAGGACTACAGGGTTGTGCTGATGTGCCTGGCTAATTTTTTTATTTTGTAGAGATGGGGTCTTGCTATGTTGCCCAGGCTAGTCTTGAACTCCTGGCCTCAAGCCACCCTCCACCTCGGCCTCACAAAGTGCTAGGATTATAGGTGTGAGCCACTGTGCCTGGCCAAATAATTTCTTTATTTTGGTTTCATGTTTTCTTTTTTTAACTTGTATAGATTTATGGGGTACAAGTGTGATTTTTTACGTGGATATATTATATAGTGGTGAAGTCAGGACTTTTAGTGTACCTATCACTCAAACAATGTACATTGTACCCATTAAGTAATTTCTCATCATCTATCCCCTCCCACCCCTCTTACCCTTCCAAGTCTCCATTATCTATCATTCCATAGTCTATGTCCATGTATACACATTGTTTAGATCCCACTTGTAAGTGAAAACATGAAGTATTTGTCTTTCTGTGGACCACAGTCCACAGAATGATAGTATAAACCATCATTTTCTTGTCATTTTCCCGTTTATTGGAAAATAAATATTTTGTTTACTGTTTATTGGAAAATAAGTGAATTTATTCATATTAGTGAGTAATATCTACTACTCTTTCTTGTCACTCATACTCTAATGTGTCAGAAGTCCATTGTAACTACAGGTGTCTATGGAAGAAAGGTGGGAGCAATGGCACTTAATGTTCAGGCTGTCTGCTGTTTGCTTGGCCCACTGAAGGGAGCTAGAGGTAGGGATAGATACAGATTACTGATTAATGATTCATGATGTTATTTTGGTGAGCACAGAAAGATGTGTAAGGCAACAGAAAAGCCTGTTCCTCCTCGTCTCCTGACAGAAGAAGAATATCGAATACAAGGAGAGGTAGAAACCCGAAAGGCTTTAGAGGAGCTCCGAGAGTTTTGTAACAGTCCAGACTGCTCTGCTTGGAAGACTATTTCTCGAATCCAGTCTCCAAAAAGGTAACTCTTGGGCAGATATACCAAGTATCTGTCAGGGTAATTGTGACCTTGAGTTCTATCAGTGATCATACTACTAGATAATCATGTTGTATTTGTGGCCTTTGTTTATCTGTTAACCTAGGAGTAGTCAAGAGAAAGGTACATACGTTAAGCTTGTTTCTTGTTTCCTCAAGGAACTATCTACTCTAGCTTTGTTCGTGGCATTGAGATGGGAAGACTACAGTACCATATTAAATTTCCCCTCTGAAAGTTTTGCATTCTTCTGAGTTAGTAGGGTTTTTCTTCTTCTTTTTTTTTTTTTCCTTTTTAGTTGAAAGCAACTGTACCAATGAAAGCTTCAATTTGGAATCCTGAAGGCATAAAGTTTATAGGGCCATAAACATGAATAACTATGTAATGCTCCTTAATCTTATCAGGATTGCAGATGACTAAAGGAACCTTAGCACTTCCATAACAAAAAAGGTAGACTAGTGCTTATTAAGCATGATAGAGTTTCAGGGGATATTGGCCTATGTTCCCAGCTTTCCTTTTCTTCTTATTTCTTGCTTTAGTCTATTTACTTGCCAGAGTAAGAGCAGGGATATTGGCTAGACTCAATATAATTTGAGCTGTGAGCATATCACAGGTTTCAGTTTGTTCTTATTTTGAAAGAAAACCAGAAAGGACAGAAGGCAGATTGCTAATGAGTATTCTCTTTTCCAGATTTGCTGACTTTGTGGAAGGCTCTTCCCACCTCACACCAAATGAAGTTTCTGTCCATGAGCAAGAGTATGGATTAGGGAGCATTATTGCCCAGGTTGAAATCTATGAGGAAACATCCTCTGAGGAAGAAGACTCATATTCCTTGTGCCCCACTCTCACACAACACAACTTCTTGACTTAAGTGGTAGTCAGTTATTTTTATGTGGACTGGCTTGGTGCCTCATTGGTTCATATTACTCATGTTGTGCAATTGCATCCAACCCTTTGAAACAGAGTGCAGAAATTCTCCCACTGAAATGAGAGGCCTGAGTGGGCCTCCCTCTGGTCTCTGTGGGATCCCTGAGGAAGGAGAGTGTATAAAGTAGTAAATGCCCATTGGTTAATCTATCATCCCACTTTTATGTTCCCAAAGTAACTGGCCACAGCTAGCATGGTGTTCCAGCTTCTCTTTGAAAGTTGATTTAATTGTATTTCTGTCAGGCTGGCCCTGCAAAGTAAGAACTGTTATAATTGCAATAATGCTGCAGACTATAGGCTGCATCTTCCAGAGAGAAATCCACAAATCTGAGCCTCTTTCACTTCTGTTTTTATTTTATTGACTTTAGAATACTACTTGATTTAACTCTTTTTGGCAGGAAAATTGATTTTTGTTTGTCTTGGTTTTTTTTAAATCAATTTTTTTAAAAAAAAATGTAACAAACTCATGTTCCAGAACCAGCAAGTGTCCTAGGCCCCCAGAATGACAAGTCTCCTAGGCCCCTAAGCCCCAGGAGCTATTGTTTTGAGCTTTGAATTAGTTCTCACACATAATGATATTTTAAGTCCTGCTTTTAGGAACATGCCTGTAGGCTCTTCTGTAGGTGAGGTGTCTTGGGCTTTTGATTATATTCAACTTATAATTCCATCTTAAAAATACATTTGTGTTCTTCCCTTCTCATTCCTCCTTGCCACCCTTTCCCTTTCAGTAAGGGTGTATTTCCCTCACTTGTGAAGTATGTACAATTCAGAGTTTATTTCATTTCTTATACCTCCTCATTAGTTTACAGCATTATTCCTGCTAGCTAGAAGTTATCTTGTTAGGGGATGTTCAGATGCTTTCGACAGGTTACATTTTTTTCTGTCATTTGGTCACGTATCTTTGAGTTACTGTGGTATCAAGAAACTATCCCCTTTTCCTTTCCCTTCTCCTTTGTCTACCTGGTCTACTTATTCCTTTCAGCCTTTCCTCACTACCTGCACTCCCCTAAATCTAGCTAATTTGTAAGCCCTGAAACTATGAAATTTTTTAATGTACAGTTTGTAGCTGTGTAGCCACTACAGTTTGCACTGCCAGGAAGTAGACCTCCAGGTTATGTTCATGTCTCTTGATGCTCATTCAGCCATCAGGATTAGACACATTTTTCTATGAACTGATACTTATTTGCAATTCCATTTCCGACCTGAGATTTATGCTGCCTTTTATTACAGTGGCATTAGTTTCAGATTCTTTAGCCTTTGGAAAGTACCCTTATAAACTAGCAGTGTCATTTATGAGGGAGCCAATTCCGTCATTTGGTTGGTTCCTTCTTTGTGATCTTCACCCCCAATACCTTGGAAAACACTGTAATTACTTTAGCCTGGAAGATAGATGCTCATGGCAAGAGCATAGCATCAGGTTTACTGGCTTACTTACCACGATCATGGGAAAGGCAGATGATTTTTTTAAAAAGCTATAATGACTCCTTCAAACCAGCCATTTAGCAGATAATTTTTGAAAGGCCCTGGCTCCACTGCTGACTTCCAAAGTGTCAGCTCTGAGACTCCCCTCCAGGTTGATTATTTCCACAGCCTTAGACTGTCCTAAAGCAACAGCTACCTCGATTGGCAGCAAAGGGACATATAGTGGAAAATGAGCAGTATTTGGTCAGATAGTATGGGTTAAAGTTGCAGGGTAAAAGGAACTTTATATTGGGAAACTGTTATGCCTTTGTGAATTATGTACGTAGTAAAATTTTATCCCTCTACAAAGAACTATTAAAACCTCTGAAATAAACTTTTTTTCAACTTTATTTATAGAAACCGAGACCTAGCATATTTGAGCATAAATTGATTTGAAAAAATAATTCAGCTGTACAAGTGGTCTCAGGATTCTCTGGAGATTTTGGTACCTTTTCCAAAATAGCTACTTAGGAATGTGGTAGGTTGCCTTTAGGGTAACTTTTTCTGATTCATGTCTTTATTTCAGTGAGAAAGCATTGTGAAGTAGGGAAAGATTCTCCTCCTATTTTGTTTAGTAAACTCCTGTGAAATAGAGTTTCCGTTTCAAGGCCAGTTTTTTTTCACTGTTTGAATTTGGGGTGAGTAAAATCAAACTCAGTTTATTACTCCCTGTCTGGTAGTTGGAGACCTGAGCTGTAGGCACCAGAGGTAACAATTGGTCCTGCAGCATGAGAATTGCTCTCAGACGGTGAAGGACAGTGCTTCTTTGGTGTGCTGCGTGTCCTTGCCCTGCCTGCCTTGTGGCTCTGCCCAGATGCTTCCGAGCCTGTGTGTGCCCGGAGATTGCTTGACTTCGTAAATCTTTACAAGCTGCTCTTGTCTCCCTCTTGGCCACTTATTCTGCTGGCTCAGTCATTACTTGAAGCCCCCATTTAATTTTCTCTGGCAGTTATAGCTCTTGCAATTTCAGCACAGTCTCATCTCTCAGACCGATCTCATCAAGAAGGATTGAAGGGATAACTATGGGGGAGCTGGACATTGGAGCTATGTCTGCTGCCACGTCAGCATCTTGCTTAGCAAATATCAAGCCGTAAATGGGCTCCAGGGCTCAGGGTCTCATCAGCATTGGAAGTCTATCACCTCTAATCAGTCTGACCAAGTTGTATAGAGCATGACTCCCATTAATGGGAATACAAAAGGCATCTGGTATAAAACATTTCCCTTTCACTTTCCCACTCAAGATTGTTTTCATGGGACCAAAAGAACACAGTGACTAAAATCAAGGACAATTTAGCAACTTTGATACCTTCTAATAAGGAATTCCTGTCAGCCACTGCATCCTACCAAAGCTATTTTATTTCTTCCCCCCAAATTCATGATTTTTGTGGCTGTTACAAAGGGAATTTTGCTGATGATAGATCTTTGGGTCTTACTGTTCCATTTTGTGCTTATTTATCCATTCTACAGCCCAGTCCTCTCTTCATTGATTATTCCTTTGAACTCAATCCCTATTTGATATGTATTATAGAGGTTTGATGAAGAAAAGGACCCAAATAGGCCAGATAGTCCCCCCAGGTCCTGATATCCATAGAAGGCCTCGGAATGGATTATATAATTGTCCTCAATCTTTTTGTTGTTTGAGAAAAAAAAGATGGGCTTAGATGGATGCCTGCATAAAAATGGTTCCTAGCTGTGTACTCAACTTCTCTGAATTGAGTAGTGAACGTTGAAGTACAAGGAAAGGAAATTAAATGTCTTTCTAGTATTCCTTTGGACTTAGGTCTGACACGTGAGATAATAACCTGTATTGAAGTGCCAGGAATTTTATCTGAACTCAGGAGAGGACAGTTTGACAGATTTATTTTGCCTTCATATTATATAGGCACTGAAACCAAGTAATAAACATATAAAATAGCCATTGCACAAAGCAAGTGCACCTAAACCTTTTGTTTCTGTTTCTAGGTAGCAGAAATTATTTTTTTTTAGGGGAACCTGTGTAATTGTTGTGACCCAACGGTGTCTTTTGTTGACTTAGCTCATAGATACAGGTTGCTATTGAGTTTGATTCTAGATGGTTACTGCCTTGAAAAGTGGTGCCTTATGTGACAGGAGCCAGAGCCTGCTGGGAATAAACAAAGCAGATTCATGCCAATATGGATTTGTAGCTTTAGAGGGAATGGGAGTGGGTCACACAGACCCCCAGAATGGGGGCTTTGGATTTTCACATCACCCACCCATGTGTGTCATCTTCCTTTTTCACACTCTTTTGATGGTAACTTGAAAATGGTGAAATCACCTTCTCTGAACTTGACTATAACATGAGCAGCATTCTTATGTTAACATAATATAGATAGGTCATAATGGGAACATTAGAAACTGTTAACAGCCTGCAATTGCCACAGTTTTCCATGTTTATGGAATTGATGTTTAAATAGCAGGGCTAAGGAATTACTGGGTAAGTTTTAGCCTGTGGGTAATGCCTTAGCGTTATTTAAATAAAAGATTTATCATTTGTGTTTAAAATAAATGTTCATGAATGTTTGAATGGAACAAAATTATCAGGGATGGCTCTTTGCCATGGGTCTCATTTTTACCCTCTTTTCTATAAGAAAAAATAATGTCTTATGAATTTTTCATTTTTATTGTACAGTTTGTAAGTAATCCCAATTTTAATAAAGTTTTATATATATATAGTGGTCTCAATGAGCATGTGCTTTTCTTGTTTGGCTCTCTTGTTTTCAGGTAATCAGCTATTAACTCCTCAGTTTCATCTTTCTAATGAGATGGTTTTGCATGCCATTGATTTTCCCTTTTTTTCTTACCCACCCCTTCCCATGCTGAGTCTGTACTGGTCTGCTTATATCCTTGGACTGGATGATTTCCCAAGAGGCCACATCTCTAAGGGATATTCTTGCAGGAGTAGCAGGTTGTACTACTGTGTTATATAGTAGAAAAACGAAATATATAGGTTATTCCTTGTCCAGGGAGTTACTCTGTGCAATTCTTTTCTCTTTTTTTAATGGCATAAAGTATCCATTGAGGTGGGAGGAAGACCTATGGATCCAGCTATGGGATGCCTTTGTATAGGCTGGAAGAGGAAGCAGAGCTGTAGGGAGCATTAGAGTCATGGAATAAAAACTTCCATTATGTCTAGGCCCAGCTTCTGCAGTAGGAGTCTGGTACCTTCCATTTTCTTTTACGTATTGGCTATTTTCTTTGCTATAAGAATTTTTATAACATTTGTGTTAATTCTGTATCTGTCTTCTCTCTTTTCACTTATTTAGGCTACCTGGAAATAAATCCATTGTCTATTTTTTTAAGACAGTTGGCAAAATAGGAAGAAAACAGGATGTAGACCATATGTAAATTTATGTAGATTAATGCACACTAACGATGTCTTTTCTCTCCTCTGTAACTACTACTAGGTAAAAGACATAGATGCTCATTAATGGTTGAATTAATAAAAACTTAAAACATAATTGCTAGGTGTGCTACTCATAGGGTTTTAGTGAAGAAAAAAGACGAAGGTGTTATAAATCAGTTCTCAGACTTTAACATGCATAGGAATCACCTGGGGATCTTGTTAAAATGCAGATTCTAATTCAGTGAGTCTACAGTGGTTCCCAAGATTCTGCATTTCTAGTAAGCTCCCAGGTGATTCACATGCTGCTGGTCTGTGGACCTCATTTTGAATAGCAATGATGTAAAGCACTTAGCTTGTTGCCTGGCACATAGTAAGTACTTGGTAAATGTTATTAATTGACTCCAGATAATTTACAAGAGCCAGGAAGACCCTCTGTCACCAAATATCTTCCCTTCTATATCTGAAAACTTATCTATTTTTATTGTGTAACATTTT